CATCGGAAATTTATATTTTTATTTAGGTGGGTAAGGCGCTCGACTCACAATCTGAGGGTCGCGGGTTCGAATCCCCGTCACACCAAACATGCTCGCCCTTTCAGCCGTGGGGGCGTTATAATGTGACGGTCAATCCCACTATTCGTTGGTAAAAGAGTAGCCCAAGAGTTGGCGGTGGGTGGTGATGACTAGCTGCCTTCCCTCTTCCCTGCTAAATTAGGGACGGCTAGCGCAGATAGCCCTCGTGTAGCTTTGCGCGAAATTCAAAAACAAACAAACAAACACATTACATATAAGTAATAAATGTGATATCTACACTATATCTAGGTAATAAATGTGATATCTACACTATATCTAGGTAATAAAACTGACATCTACACAGTATAGGGTGGTCGAAAATTATCTTTTTATTTTAAAATTTAATAAATGAATAACTAAAGAACTATAACCATGCAGTTTTCAACGTCTTGTAGCCCAGTGCAAACAGCTTTTATTGACAAGTCAGTAGACTTCTACGTGACCACCATTAGTAGCTCTCAGCACGTCTAACCGATATTCGATTTCAGTCCATGTTCGCTGCAATATGCCCACGGTTACAGTGGCGATAGCCCTTGTTATCCTGATCTTTAGCTCCTTGATGTTTGTTACAGTTGTGCTATACGCGATGTCCTTTACATACCCCCAAAGAAAAAAGTCTGGCATAGTGATGTCTGGAGAACGCGTACGTCACGAAATTGACCCAACCCGGAAAATCCATCGCATTCTTACATTTTACGATATGACACTACTCATTGCTTTGTTGTATTTCTTTAGTTATTTCATTATTAAATTTTAAAATAGGAGAGATAATCTTGGACCACCGAGTATACCTAGGTAATAAGTTTGACATCTGAACAATATATCTAGGAAAAATCATGAAAGTGCATGCGTTATCTTAAAACAATGGCGAATCAACCATTTTCGTACAGAAATAACATCCTTTTTTATGGTTATTGTTAGAGATTAAGAATACAGAATGTTTTGAAAGGCCAATCGGATGTGCGAAGAGAACAGTCTGCACCTGTTGTCAAGTTATTCTTATCGACGCCAAACGGAACAGTATTTGTCCTGGAACTACTACAGACGTTCATTCTAAACACATCATTCTTTCTCTGTAAACATTGCAACACATTTTAATATATATCTGAATCAACCCTCATCAAAGAGTAAGAGTTAATGAATAAACCGTCATCAGGAGTAAGGGCTAATGAGTAAACCACTATCAAAGAGTAAGAGCTAAATGAATAAACTGTCATCAAAGAGTAAGAGCTAATGAATAAACCGTCATCAGGAGTAAGAGCTAATGAATAAACTGTCATCAGGTGTAAGAGATGATGAATAAACCGTCATCAGAAGTAAGACTAATGAAGAAATCATCATCAAAGAATAAGCGCTAATGATTAAACCGTCATCAGGAGTAAGACTAATGAATAAACTGTCATCAGGAGTAAGAGCTAATGAATAAACTGTCATCAGGTGTAAGACTAATGAAGAAACCATCATCAAAGAGTAAGCGCTAATGTTTGTTTGTTTTTAATTATGCAC